CCTCAGTTATAAAATGTAGATATTTTTTCAGACAAAGAAATAGCTATTCAGTAACTTATCTAAATTCATGTGGTTACCAAGGGGTGAAGGGGAGATTTATGCCCAGGCAATCTGACATCAGACCTTTTACTTTTAACCTTTATGCCACACGTACACCATTTTATGGATAAGGAAGTAGAGACTGCCTTACCTACTCGGGGTCATCCGCCTCATGGGCGGATGGAAAGTCCATGCTGTAAGCTCCCGGTCTTTGCTGCCTCCAGGTCCCACGGGGGAGGGAGGCTACACGCACAGTGTTGTATGCTCTGTCTGAGGAATTTACAGGAGATTCTGAGGTAGCTTTTCTGGTACATTCTGGGTATTCCTGAGGTTGTAATTTTTTTGGAATCTCCCTGGATCACTGTGATAACCTGGTTTGATAACTTGCTCTAGTGCAGGGATGGCTAATGAGTTTCATTTCTGATGCTATTTGTGACTGATTAGTAGGTTATTGAGGGCAGTATGTTGAAAACTGTAAGGCTAAATCTGAGCTCAGCTGGGGCAAGCTCCAACTAGTGATGTCTGCCACCAATCCGAGAGGAGAGGAGGGTGCCGGTGGGTTTGTATATGGACTCGATGCACTCAGGGCTTCAGCTGGTTTGAGGATTGTGTTATTGCTCCTAACTATTCTCCCAATCCCTGCTGGAAGATTCTATATCCCTGCCTGTGACTGTGACAGTGTGACTTGCAGTGCCTCTCAAAGGCTGAGACATATCCATGTCCCACAGTCAGGTTTGGCCTCAGAGTTTGTGAGAGAAGGACGTGATACATAGCCTGTCTGAGCAGGTTTTCGCATGATTGCATCTCAGTTCTGCCTCTTGCTCTTGTCCCTGTGCCATGAGAGCAGCTGGCCCTGCAGAGACATGGGAGCAGCCCCACCTCTGCTGACTGACACGAGCTCTTACAAAGCAAGCCTCCGAGATTTTGGAGTTACCGCTGCAGCCGAGCTGACCAAAACAATCAATGCATCCTATTTCCAGAGTGAACTTGGCAAGTACAAATAAATCCTAAGCTATCATTTTGTCTGAATATTGGTTTTAGTTTTACTAGGTTGATTCTTAGTAGATTACCTAAATCATGCAGTTGGGAGTTTCAGTGCCTTTCAAGTGATTTTCATGTGCATTGTCTTAAAAAATACCTTTCAGGGAATCGTGTTAGAGTGGACCCAAGTGATACCTGGAGTTCCAGTTCCAGTACCCAAGGACTGTAATGGCTAAGGAACGCCTGCTGCAGGATGGAGCCTGACTTCCCTGCTTCTGACCCAAGGACCAGGTGCCCCTCAGGCGGGGAGCTTTAGCACTCATCTTTGGTTGCATGCAGGTGGTTCTGTTGTTTTGTGCATATATTTGAATTTAAAACAGCACAAGTCCATGAGACTGACATTTAGAATGACTACCCTTCAAACTGAATATTCCGAGTTCTCCTTATTCAGCACGTCAAGATATTGACCTTTTTCACAGTGTGAAGAATATCCTAGCCAAATTTAAAGAAAGACCCTTCTCCTAACATACCCAATTCCTGGATGAGAATATTTACCAACCTGGCCACTTCGGTGAGGATGAGCATCACACCAGGCCTGCTCGGCAAGTTACAGTACTTGTTTGTCAGTAAATAGTTCAGAGGTGGCGAGAACCCAACTCCTCATGGATATGTCAGCAGAACTTCTCCCTGGATGCCTTCATGTTTAAAGCCTTCCCAACCTCATTTCCCAGAGGGTTACATTGACCTGGAGTACTTTGATGGTTTGTAAATCTCTCCCTCCTCTGAGTTAATAGTGTCCTAATACTTGTGACATCTATGGTAACAAACTTCAGGTGTGGTCATATTTGGGCTGCAAAAATTTTCCTCTTATGCATGTGCTCCCTTGTTCCTTCTCCTCTAAGAGCATTCCCTCCTTAGCTTGGCTGAAAGAAAATGCTCATAAATTAAGAAGAGTATGAGCTTTACCTCTAGCACCTCCCTTGCATCCCTCTTGCTGTCCTCCCAGCTTTCAGCCCTCTGAAGTCAGTGGGGAGCAGAGCCCGAGCAGAGAAGTGTTCCCAGCTGCCTGGAGGGGAATGATGGACTGCAGCTGGCAAAGGAACACGGTGGAACAAGCCACAGGTGACCACAGCCAGCCAACTGGGTCAGGTTGTTACAGGAAGCTCAGTGGAGCGGGGAGCCTCTGCAGCTGCTTGCTTGATGCTTACAGAGAGTTGGGCCATGTTTCCTCCCAAGAAAGACCAACCTGTCCTTGACCTTAACTTTGTCAAGTTGCAACACAGAGAGTTCTTTTAGTTGTGTCAATCATCAGTGCAAGGAGTTAAAAAAAGGCAGAGTAAGAGACCGTGTCTTTTGAGCTTGTCCATCTGAAGGGAAAAGCTTTGCTTACCATCTAAGAATGTGGGGCTTGAGTGAACTGGAAAGGAGTTCTAGGCAACAGAAAAGGCCAGGTACTGTTAGTTTTCTATTCAAGAGAACAATTACAAAAAATATAGCCAATTGTCATCTTACTACACTGATTGACAGTGACTACATTGGGGTTTGGGTGGGGATTTGATAATATGGGTAAATGTAACCACATTGTTTTTTCATGTGAAACCTTCATAAGAGTGTATATCAATCATACCTTAATAAAAAAATATATATATAGCCAATTGTCAAGTGGTTAAAGCAAAAGGTTTTTAGTGCTGAATTTTTTAGTAAAACTTGATTTCCTTTAAGGGGACCAAAGTGTTATTAAATGCTCATATATACATTACTAAGGATGTAATGACCACCACCCCAGGCTTTAAATTAGGCTGGTTCTGTGATTCTTAATTTTTAGAGTGTGGGAAGGGGCCTGATAAAGCACAGATTGCTAGGTTGCATCCCCAGAATTTCTGATTCAGTATTTCTAAGTGGAGCCTGAGAATTTGCATTTCTGACAAGTTCCAAGGTCTGTTGGTCTGAGGGCCATGCTTCGAGGATCACTGAGATAGGCACTCATCTCTGAAGGTGTGTAGATAACAGAGCTCCTCTTTAATCAGTATTTAGTGGCTTGTATTAAGGCATTATCTGAGGTGGTGCTGCAAGCTTGCAGATGTTGGTGATTAGGGAATTAAGGGCAAGGCTCAAATCACAGAGTTGAAGGGATGGGATGGTGGGAGGGGAAGAGCCTGGAGAGACATAAGAAGGAAATGGGAGTGAGGAGCAGACTGAGGAATTCAGGCGAGAGGGAGAAACTCAACCTGAGACTGATCTCACTGCCATGTGAAGTGATTTCTTTATTGAGTTTGATCGCTGAGGTGGTGACAAGAGCTATACCTAAAACAGATGGATAAGGCTCTGAAGGTTTTATTGTATTCCCTTCTGTATTAAATAGCAGAAATGAACATGTTCTTTGAACTTTCATAATGATACTCATTTTCCTTGACAGTGTGTATTGATCGCCAGATGGGGAACTCTTTCTTTTGGGCAAATAAGGTCATAAAGATAAGCTGTGACAATTAAATGGCCACATTTCTTTTATTTTATCAATATGGTTGGAATCTAAGTTGAACATGATAAGATGCACACAGCTTTTTTGTCTTCAGAGTTCTAAGACATGATTTTTGAAGTCTAAGTTCATATGGAAACATCAAGGCAGAAAAGAATGCAACTTCTAAAACCAGTTTTATGTTCCATTTGGTTGTAAAGTAATTATTCAATATATTATTTTGATTTTAAAAATTAAAATCTTGCCATATATAGGTGGATAATATGTGGTCCTGAAATCATTGGAATTCTCCTTTCCACTATGGCCACTAGCAAAAGAATGCCCAAGTCTCTTAAAAACCTACTTAAAAAAAAAATTCACTTCAATGAAATAGTAGTAAAGGGGAATTATGATTTCTCTTCCTATGAAACATCAGTCATTAGAGAAAAAACAGTAAAATTCCCAAATACCTCCATGATAGCAATATTCAGGAAATAATATTTTAAGTAAACTTTTTTTAATAAACAGCAGCATAAAATAATCAGTGTTTAATATAATCTCTGGTGTGTGAGATACAAATGCATATATCCTCAATATAAAATAACCTTTTTGTCATTACATTCCATGCTTGTCTATGTGAAATGCCCATAATAACAAATCGAACATTAAGTAATACAGTGATTAAATGCATGCAATGAAAATAAGAAAAGATATGGCAGGGCAAGATATCTGAATACTACCACTATATATTTGAAGAAAATCTATATTGAGAAAAAACAAATAAAGGAAATAAGGAAACAGACCAGATATAAAAATGCAGATATATTTTCACTTCTGTGATACAAACCATAAACATTGTTTTGTGCAAAAAAAAGAAAAGATCTGAAAATAAGGTCATCTTACAAAATATCAACAAAGCAAAAGATATTTTTCAGTTTGTGAAAAAATACTATTTTAATACAAAAGGGACTGTGTATGTGGTATCACAGTACTATTATAAAATACATTATTACAAGTGGTTTTGAAATTTAGTTTGTTCACCTTAATGAATTCAGTAATTATAAAATGTTTAAAATAAATGTTACAGTTCTTTATAAAAAACTAACTTGAATTTATTTTTTAACCATAGTAATGTTTTTCCAGAATAGGTATTTTACTGGCTCATGGAAGGTAAATTTCCCTTTAAGGGACTTCTAGAAAAACTCAGATTCACTGAAATTGTGTTTACTTAAAATAATAAATATTCTTGGAAAACAATTGATTGTCATATGATATACAAAATTGTGGTTTGACTCTTCACCATTAAACAGTTGCATAGCAACAAAAGGATACAAATATTCTCCTCTACCTAAAGTTAAGAAATGTGACTTCTGAATCAGCTTATTTATGCCATTAAAAATGTCTTAATTTATTTCCTAATAAATCTGGATATAGCCAATTCTTTGAGTTCACAGTACCTATGAGTCCATATTTATTGTCTGAAGATTCAGTGTTTGGAAAAATTCCAACACATTTTGGTAGACACACTTCTTTGATTTCTCATCCTAATCGTATTTTTTTTTTTATGTAATTGAAACATCAGTGTTCTTTTAATTCTCTTACATTCTCCTCATCAAATATCACTTCCAGGAATTACTTTATATTCTGTTAAGTCTCTCTGTAAGTCTCTTTCAACTGTAAAATTTTTTAAAAAATGAGACTTGCAGACATTGTGTTTAGATTAAAGGAGTTTTTTTTTAACAACATACAAATCAAACATAACATTCCTTTCTACATAAAACTTGAAACCCATAAGAATTCTGAACATGGCAGAAGTTGGCTACAGGTAAATGGCATGAGATGCACATTTGATACCTCCAAGACACAAATGATCATTTTGCCTCTATTTACCAGCTTAGAAAATTCAGCTCATGGTAATCTTTGAAGTGAGAACTCACTGTCTGTTTTTTAAAAAAAATGCTGTAATATTTTGTAAGATAGAATTCATAGTCTTTGGAGTCCAACTAATTCTAATAATAAATTGTCATAACTCTTGGTGCTGGAATAAAATCTGTGAACATTTCCAGATCAGAAATAAAAAAAAAAAGAGAGAAACTTTAAATTAACTAAATATTGGTGTCATAGAGTTTACTGCTTCCCCAGAGCCCACTGATTATGAACACCCCTATACTTTGGACAACTCGTAGGCAGGAGGTTGCAAGCACTGATAGGCTTATCTGCAGCCACACATTTATTCAATGTTATTGGTCCAGGGAAGGTCCTGTAAGGCTGACCCCATGGGAAACTTGTTCCTCTCCCATGGCTGGTGATCTAGGTTGTGGGGCCATTCTCCCGTGCTTCCTTTGGTGCCTCGCTTCTAATGCAATGAAGTGAACTATCAGCCAATAAATTCCAGAAACCACTTCTGGCCTTCTTATGGTCTGATGCCCTATGTCATTTCAAGGGCTTGTGTGAACACGCTGTGGAAAAGGCTGTCACGATCAGCAGAGGAGAGTCACAAAGAGGCACACTGTATTTTCCCAAGGAAGCCCTGCTGTGTAGGAGGCTTCAGGGGATCTTACACTTGTCTTATGGCTCGTTTCCAACTGGGATTTCAAATTTGGCCTGAAGTTTCCTCACTGATTCTGAGCATCACTTCCATGCGTGGAGTCTAAATTGAACCAACTTTATTCCTGAACACCTGTCCTGAAGAAAAGACAGCAGGTAGACAAATGCTGTGGTATATACATTTTGGGAAGAGACCAGTCATGGTGACTGAAGATGAATACACAGAGCACCATATGACTTTTCCTTTTTGGCTTGGTATTAATTGCAAGGTTCTTTTTCTCTTCACGGGTTTTCAGTTTTCATTACTTGAAACCCCATGTACCAGTCCCAATGGCAGGTCATTACCCTGAAGGGGTGTTAATCCCACAATGCTTTTTCCTCTGGCTGGCATCTGCCCTGCTGGTAGGACACAGTTAACTTCACAGAAGATACTTGTTGCAATGTCTGCTAAATGAGAACCTGACTTTAATAAAACCATTTGGATATAAATCTTTTCTACAGCTTTCTGGTTTCTCCTGTATACCACATTTACAAAAGTCATGCATTTTACAGTTCTGCAGAAATCATAGATTCGGTGTGTCCATGAATATTGGAGTCTCCTAGCAAAGATGGTTGCTTTGAGTCAATTTTGTAGGGTTTTTGAGATTTGTTGCCAAAAACAGTGATACCCATTCCACCGGGATGATTTGGAATTGACATGTGTGGTAGTAAGGGAATATTTGCTTCTTGATTGGATCCCGATGAGGGCAAGCTGGTTACATGACCAGTGCTAGTCGACCCACTGGCGCTGCTCGGGGACCGACTCTTGGGAGGTGGACAGTGCTGAATCACTCTGGGAGGACCTGTTGGTTGATAGTGGGCAGCTGGAAATGCTGCATATCCAGGAGGTATTGGGTATCCATTGATAGGAATGAATCGCTGGTTCTGAGGTATTGGTGGGCCAATGAAACTAGCAATCTGGCCCTGTGGTGTAATACCCTGGCTTGGGAACATGTAATTGGGGTATCTGGGGTTACTGAGATTACTCACTGGGCTGGCACTAAGGGAGGTCGTCTGTGTGGTGGCATTTCCTCCCGAAGGGGTAGTAGAGCTGGTGTGACTTGAGAGTCCCTCCCAGGATCGCAGCCGGACGTGAATATCTTTAAATCTTGGTCTCCTGGAAGGAATCTCATTCCAGCACTCTGTCATGAGGCTGTATATTCGGGGCGGGCAGTCTTCAGAGCATGGTAACAGCTGTCGTTTTCTCACCATTTCAATCACTTCTTGGTTGCTAAATCCATAATATGGCTGGAGCCCAAAACTGAAAATCTCCCACAAGACAACCCCAAAGGACCAGATATCTGAATCAGAAGAGAATTTGCCATACATGATGGCTTCAGGGGGCATCCAGCGAATAGGCAGCAGAGACTTACTCTGTGCCCTGTAGTAATCAGCAGAGTATATTTCCCTGGAAAGCCCAAGGTCTGAAATCTTTACGTGAAGTTGCTCCCCGATTAGAATATTGCGAGCTGCAAGGTCCTTATGGACAAAGAAGTGACTAGATAGGTATTCCATGCCAGCTGCAATCTGAATCGCAATGTGCAGAAAATCTCCATGGTCCAGGCTGGACTTTACAGTCCCATCTTCATCACTGCTACAACCAACATCAGAATGTGGGGATCGCATGATGAGGAACTCATGGAGATCCCCCTGATTCATATACTCAAAAAGCATACACACAGGCTGCTCCTGAGTGACAGCACCTAGAAGGCAGACAATGTTGGGGTGGTGTAGTTCAGCCATCAGGGAGGCTTCCTGTTGAAATTCTGTCCATTGCTGGGGGTTGTTACAGTCTTTCAAGGTCTTTATAGCTACCAACTGAGCATGGTCCATGCCTGGGAGATAGAGATGGCCCTTATAGATCTTCCCAAAGGTGCACTCACCCAATTCTTCCATAAAACGTACAGCAGAAAGGGGCAGCTCTTTAGCCTTGCTCTGTAGGAAAAGAAACGGAAAGTGTGATCCAAAACATTTCTTAAGGCAAGCCTCCTTGGTGTCTGAAAGGAGGGGTGGGTTCTATAAATCAGAAAGTATAAAGAAAATATTGATTATAGGTCTGTGAGTCTTCAAAACTGTTGGCTGCCACTTAGAGGAGGAGCCATAGGCAGGTTTCTATCACGCCCCTATTCCACCAGCCACTACTGCTCCAACAACGGTTCCAGCTGTCACCTTGAATCTTGCTACTCGAAATGTAGTCTTGATACCACCAACTTCGGCATTACTTCAAGCTTACTACAGGTGAGGACTCTTTGGCCCACTTCAGACCTAGTGAATCAGAATGTGCATGTAAGAAGGCCCAGGTGATTTCGGGAACGTTAGAGTGAGACGCACTGCTGCAGAGACACAGCCTTAATTTTTGCCTGGTAGGCACTTCGGGTGTGTTTGGTCCCTTACCCCTCTACCCTTACTCCCTCTTTTATGATAGCATCCCGTTAATTAAGTGCGTCTCCTCATTGTCCACCTCCATACACCATGCACATTCCTGCCTAATACCTGTGTTCCTGCAATGCTTCCCTTTGCTCGGCATATTTATTGTGTGAAAAACTAGAGAAAACAAAATGAAAGACTGTCTTTCTGTGGTGCTCACAGTGGAGGCAGGGAGGTTTAGGATGTGCTCCTTCCTCTCTACTTGTCAAATTCTTGCTTCCTCTGAAACTCCCCCTGACCCTATGGGCCTCCTCTGGAGTCCTTTTGCTTCATGCTCTAAATGCCACCACATCCAAGAGGCAGCAGGGGGGCCTCTACTGTCAGATAACTTGAGTCTGAATCCTGCCCTTTCCGCGTACAAGCTGTGACCATAGGTACAATATTTAACCACCTTGTGCTTTGATTCCCTCATCTATAAAATTGAATAATAATAGCTGATTATAATTATATTTATCTTGAAGGGTTCCTGTGGACTTATTTAATAAGTTAACATTTGAAAGTACTCAGCATGCTGTCTGGTGCATGGTAAGTGCAATTTTGACTTTCAGCTATTAATACCTTGCTGATGCTGTTCTATTTATGAATATATTTTGTCCTCTCAATCAAATTTCAGTTTCTTGAAGGGAGGCACTGTCCTTTGTCCCAGTTGATATCCCCAGGGCTTCACAACTGGGATGTTGACTGATTGACCTTAAAACAGGGAAAAGCATCTAGCTCACAATGAAAATCAGTACAGCTGACCCTTGAACAATACAGGGATTAGAGGTGCTGATCCCCATGCAGTCAAAAATCCATGTTGACTTTTGACTGCCCAAAAACTAATAGCCTGCTTTTGACCAGAAGTCTTACTGATATAAACAGTCTACTAACACATATTTTGTGTGAAATATATATTACATACCATATTCTTATCATAAAGTACAGCTGGAGAAAAGAAAATGTTTTTCAAATTGTCTCCAAAGAATTCTCCAGTGTATTTACTGAGAAAATCTGCATGTAAGTGGACCCATGTAGTTCAAACCCATGTTGTTCAAGGGTCAACTGTACTCAATTGTGACATATGATCTTGGCAGTAAATGTCCACAGTGTGTTTTCACTATTTTTTTTTTACTATTTTTGAAATTCACCTTAAATCTAGCCTGACATTTAATTTGTTAAGAAAAAAGTCTTAAAAGCAATGCATTTGTATATAAACTGATTTTTAAAATAATCCCTGTACTTTAAATCCTTGTTTTTTAGAAAAAGAATACTGCTCTGAGTATCTCAATTGAAGCTGACAGTGTTGCAAATACATATGGAATTCAGAGCTCTCTGTACAGAGTTTAAAACAACAGTTTAGAAAATTAAGTAAAAATTTCTCTAATCCATACTCACTAATTAAGAATTCATGATAATTAGCTCTGTTCTAGGCTGATATTTTCCAGGGCAAAATGCCCACTAACCTAATTATAAGTGTAAATAAACTTGCAGCAAAATGCCCACTTCAAAGAACAAAATGGAATTGAGGACTTTGGAACATTAACTCTTCCATGCAAATAATATTTCTTAATATAAATAGGTCTCATTTATTCATTAAAGCAGATTTCATGGCGTTTGAGTTTGGAAATGTCTTATAGGAAAGTTATTTCTGTTGAAAATAATAGTGACACATTGCTTTAAATATTCAGCCCCATTCACTACAATATTATAATAGTCCCATTCACTACAGAATTGTAATAGCAAAAGATTAGAAACAACTAAATGACAAGCCCTAGAAGAGACTGGTTAATTATGGTGGAGTCAGTAAATAGGACATGATATAGTTATAAGAACAAATGAGGATGCTTTCTGTGTGCTAGTATGGAAGATCCCCCAAATCCTATTGCTAAGATAAAAATAAAAAGCAAAAGAACAGTAAATGCTTTTGTGTGGAAGAGGAAGAGAAAAAGAATAAATGTACTTATATTTCTTTGCATATGCATAGAGAAACTCCGCAAGGGTACTCAGGAAACAGCAGGGCTTCTTGGGGAGTGTGGAGGTGGGAACTAGGAGGAGGGGGACAGAGGTGGCAGATTTTTTTATACTTTACCAATTTTGAACCAGGCAAATATATTACCAATCCAAAAAAATAAATAATTTCAAAACATACAAACAATTTCCATCTGATTGAATCAGGAAATTCCGTCTGCAGTCACAGGTCCACCACTGTTTTCCCTTCACCTCTAGGGGCTGGACTGTTGGGGGAGGTGTGGCATTCCTTCGGGAGAGCCGCTCGCGGGTGATGGGAAACATGGCCATTAGAACCAACCCAGTGTTTCTCTTGCAGCTTTCAGATGATTTTACTTTTGTGGCAAGAGTAACCTAAGGTGAATTTTTCCTGCATGAGCTTAAAGCTGGGATTTCTATCAGGACTTTTCCTGATGATTTAAATGAATCCAATTTATGTGAGGGTCCCTTGAATGGCACAATAAGTACAAATTATTTTTTTAAACAGGATCCCTAGGCTTTGGTGAAAGAGAAGGGCAAGAGACTGAGTAATGAACTTCTTTTGAGGGAAAATGGGAGCCAGGGACTAAACCCAGGGAATATTAGATTGATATAATGTGGAGTTAAGACTCCTCCCTCTTCCCACGCTCGCTGAAACCAACCCTAAGGAGGTATGGTGTACTCAAACCATACGACCTGTGGACTCATACAAATCTGCATTTGCATCTTGGACCTGTTTCTTTTTATTAATAATAGTTAATGCTCATATAGCACTTACTATGTGCCAGACACTGTTCTAAGCACTGAACAGATATTAACTCTTTTAACACAACAACCCTGTTGGGTAAATCCTATATATGAGTTGGTGGACCTTAGGTGAGTTTCTTAACTTATCTGTACCTCTGTTTCCTTGTCCATGAAATAATATTATATCTACCTTCCATAGTTACTGTAGGGATTAAATGTAACAATGTATGAAAGTAATTTCCACCTAGAAATTGCTCTTAACTCAATCTTATTATCCTTATTATGGAAGTTATCCAGAAGGTGGAGTAAAGGTGATTCAGATCCTTTACAGCCCTAAGAACTTCTAGATAGTCTTCTATAAATTCTCTTTATATTTTTTCTATGTTTCAAAAAATAAGCGTTATGTTTCCTCTTATTAATCTTCCTCTGTTCTTCTGTAGTTGTTAGATTTTTTTTAAGTCTTAAAAAACAACAGTTAATTTGGGAGCCGGAGGGTGGGTGAGAATTTGAGTGGCCTGTGGCCTGCTCCTCTAGGATTCTGGGAGATGCAGACAGAGGTGAAGGGAGCAAGAACCCATGTGGAAGAGTGAATGTTGGCAGACAGGAAAAGGAAGCAAGCAGGCCCAACTTCTGGGGACTGGAAGAGAAGAGGTGGTAGACAGGTCCTTGGCACCAGCCTGACACATGGCCCCTGGGGCTTCATGGCTAAGCAGGCGGCTGCATTCCCATACACTGAGGTAAGCAAATGTGTTCTCTTCTGTTGGCCTTTGGAAGAAGAACTCATACGCTTGCCATTTTACAGATGGAGGAAGAGGCTTAGAAAAGTATCAAGAATTTTGAGGAGAGCCAAAAGAGCTGCACTTGCATGTCCAAGGCCTCCTGCTTTGGGCCATACCATTCTCCTTGAAACCAGAGAAGCCTGCTGGCCGGCAATCCCAGTGTGACACAGAATGTCTCTGGAGGCTCAGCCTGGGGCCTGACACCTCGCAGGGCTGTGAGGTCAGCCTTCAGTGTGCAGTCACTCTGTGGAACTGTAACTGTTCTTTCTCCCTGTTTAGACAAATGACAGAGTACATTTTGACCCCAAAGTGTGTCTTGTCATATCTCACCAATATCCAGTAGGCCATATGGCTTATAATACCAATTCTTCTCCAGCCTACAGAAGGAAGGAGTAGTTCACCAGAGCCAGTCATAACCAAATTTGGGAATTTGCTTTGGAAAGAGAAGAGCAGAAAGCACCTAAAAGGGCAGATTTTATAAAACCCTTCCTTGGAACACCTGTATAGCCAGCCTGGAAGTACCCAGAAAAAACTGCTCGGAGCTTGGTTTCAACAGAACAATTCACACAGTGATCTTTTGCATTTTAAAAATGCTCAAGTTACTTGGTACAAATGTGTCTTAACTATAGACTCATTTTCAAATTTTACATAAATCCTGAACTAGTTAAAAAATCATAAAAACCCTTAAAGAAGCAGTCAGCAGACTGTACGGTGACGGCAGGAAATTAGCTGTATTGTTGAGGAACAGATGGTTTACATTATACAAACCCTTTAGGCTAAACTTGTTTAGGTCTGGCATATTGTAAATTATATTTTAGTAATGAAAGTGAAATGACCTCTGCTTGACCTCAAGTGGGGTTTGTCTGTTTGAACCAATGTAGTGGAAAACTATGAAAGAAAATGAAGTCATAAAGTTTTGGCAGTTCAATTTTGGCTCATTTCAAGTTAAGGGGTTATAAATCTGTTTAGTTTTTGTTTGACAAGTATTTGTCATACAGGGATGTACAAAATGTAAAG